AAACAATGTCGTCTTTAAGAGGTGTTTAGTCTTTATGTTACACTCCAAGAGTTTGTTTTCATGTCGTAGCTTGAAACTGATACATTTTCGAAACCATGTTATGCACGCTATGGTTTATTATGTACCTACATGTCTCTACTTAAAATACTTGATTGATTTATTTTCAAATACATTCTTTCTTGATTAAAACTACTTTTACGGATTTTATCGCGTTTATTTTTACTTTTTATTTACTCTTATGTTTAATTCCCGACGTTTCGGGCGCTTTCCAGCACCCATGGTCACGGGGTGCATGTTACAGAGAGCATGAGGGATCTGTGACAGCAAACACCTGGCCGCTGAGCTTCAGCACGTCAAGCAAGTTCTGCACGACAACAAGCTTCGGGTCCCGCGCCTACGTCACAGTGACCGAGTGAAGCCGGCCACAGTCGAGCGTGTGCCTGCTGTACCACCATATGTCAGAGATGTCACAGACAAGATTGGCTATATCTTGAAGCGAGCTTCTATTAGAACATTCTACAAGCCGCCGAAGAAGATTAGTCAGTTCCTACCATCCGTCAAGTGTCGTATTCCTCTACAAGATGCAGGAGTGTACAAGCTTGATTGTGAATGTGGTCTCTCTTATATAGGACAAACAAAAAGATCAATTAGGACCTGCGTAAAAGAACATATAGCTGATGTGAAACATCAACGTTCCGGGAAGTCTGCAGTTTGTGATCATATCCTAGACGGACCCAAGCATTACATCAGATTTGATAGACCACAAATCCTCGCGAAAGAAAACCGATTCCTACCAAGGATGATACGTGAGGCTATTGAAATTAAAAAACATCCTAATTTCAATAGAGAAGGAGGCTGGGTACTACCACCTGCTTGGGATCCTATCCTATAATCAATAAAATTAAAACTAAACCCAAGCATACCACTGAAAGACCTCAGGACATAGTCAGTTCATTTTGCATAGATCGGACCATAAACAATAATTAAAAAAGCTGAAGGTAATCCGGGTTTAACAATGACATCGGGACGTCAGTCATCTCAGTCCCCCGTGACCATGGGTGCTGAAAAGCGCCCGAAACGTCGGGAATTAAAAATAAGAGTAAATAAAAAGTAAAAATAAACGCGATAAAATCCGTAAAAGTAGTTTTAATCATGTATAGTGTTCGCGTAAATATAAGAAATCATTACATTCTTTCTTATATACATCTTTCTTATATATATATATATATATATATATATATATATATATATATATATATATATTTCTTATATAATGTACCTTGGACGAATTATCAAAAATAATATAGTAACTTGTGTTAATTAATTCATAATTTGCAATGTAAATTATTTAAACTATAACTGGATTACATTTTCTAAGATTTCTTTGTGAAATAAAAAATACTACTAACCGTATTAGGAGTAACTCCCTAACAATGAACAAGTCGTTTTTGGAACATTTTAAACATCCGTCTTGTGGCTTCCGATACTTGGGAGGCAGACCGTGAACGTCCCATACATGCAATAAAAGAATTAATAAAACTTAAAGTAAAAGTTATGGCCTATACACGTCTCACAGCTCGCTCAGTAAAGATCTCATTTCATTTCAGCTGATTTTAGAAGAATTCGTGCAAGGCTCGGGTCCAATGTGTGTAACCGGACTTTACATCCTCAAATAAAGTCTAATTCGTATCATGTCTTCGAAATATTTTTATTTTCTCAGATATGCAGGTTTCCTCACGATGTTTTTTTACCGCCAAGCTAATGTCAAACTATAAAATTATATTTTATTTGTATAATAAATTAAATAATGGTTTTAGAAACATAATTTCACAATAGTAAAAAATAATTTTGAACATTTATTTCTTCTACATAAATGTATGGAAAAAACAACTTAACAAAAAGTGTTACCTTCCTGAGTAAAGACGATTTAACGGGGTATGCGGCGGGGCGTCTTGACAAACGTACGATGTTTTATTAGTGTTCTGAGTGGCTCCTAGTAGGAGCCTATTACGAATAGTACTACTATGGGAACACACGCAGCTCTGAATGCTTCCCACTTAGGCTGAGAAAGTCTGAGTAGAGAGCGTTCGGCAGATCGTGTGATGTTGATATTGCGTTAATCGTCACGCTTGGCTTTACGAACGTAGTTCCAGACGTCTCAAACCTTATTCGTGTGCCACGCTAGCGCGACGCATCTTGCGTCTGCGATGAGTCGGGCTACATACGACACGATATCGGTGGTGATCTAGGGTGGAAAGAAATCGGGGCTTTTATCGGGGTAGACCTTACACACGGGCCTGCCTAGCAGTACGCGTTCGGACTTGGAGCGGAATGCATATGCGGTAGAGTTCTTCAAAATACCTCCGACTCTCTTAAAACACCACCGTGTTGGTTTGGCATTAGCCATCTCGGTTAATTTATTCGAAAATAGAAAAAGAGAAGTTGCTGGGTGAAAAAATGGCTCCAAAAGAGATAAAAATTAAGCCACATAAACGTACTAAATGGCCTGTAATCCAAGGACGTGATTAATTTTCTCCGGATGGATGAAGACAGTGTTTATAACCTTCTAGAAATGATTTCGCCACTTATATAAAAACGTCAATTTCTCCTACCTATGCTATTTAGTTATTTCTTCTCTTTGTTCATTTCTGCTTTGGTCAAAATCTGGTTATGTATTACACACAACAAACAAGGAAATAAAATACTTTTGTATAATAATATGTATACTTTTTTTTTAATGTAATCTTTATTTATGGAGTAAAACTATCAGAAAATAAAATAGCTTATATCTTTTTTAAACATAAAGAAACCTTTAATTTCGGACATACTCCCTTTTATATAACTTGTTTGTTGATGTGGAGATGGTGAAGGAGTAGAAGTTAGTTGTTGATAAGAGGATGAAGGCACGTAAGAGATCGAAGTGTGGTCTTGGAGTTGTAAGAGATATGAGTGCGGTCTTGTGTTGATAGCGTTGGAATAGGAGTTAGTTGTTGAGGAGAGGCTTTATCTTCTCCTTACTTACATCATACACTCTACTTTACGAACGGCAATAAAAAAATTAGTTTAGTAGGCATTCTTGACCATGTCACTTCGCAGGGTCACAGGCTAGGGTGGATATGATTTGAATTTCGATAAAATTTCAATTAATTTATTTATTTTATTCACTTTTTTTTGGTTTTTTGTAAAATATCAGTGCCATAGGCTTCTACTCCGTTTATATGATTAAAATGTAAAAATTTTGTTATATAAAAAAAGGTCATTCAGTATCACTGTTTTGTTAACTTCCTTCCGCGAGGGTTGCCGGCAGCGACTGCCAAAAGAAATCGGGCCGATGCGCCTACACACACGCAGTAAGGAGGGGGCGGTGCCCCGATCTAGGAAGCATCGGCTGATCTAGGAAGCATTTTTGCTCCTGCCAGCCGATTAAGGAGGCGATATCGGCCACGACTTAGGATGGCCCTACATACGACACGATTTAGAGACAATCTAGGAGGCATCCCCATTACTCCACCCTAGATCGCCACCGATATCGTGTCGTATGTAGCCCGCTCTAGGAAGCATTTTTGCTCCTGCCAGCCGATTAAGGAGGCGATATCGGCCACGACTTAGGAAGGCCCTACATACGACACGATTTAGAGGCAATCTAGGAGGCATCCCCACTACTCCACCCTAGATCGCCACCGATATCGTGTCGTATGTAGCCCGCTTGAGCGGGAAAAATACGATATTATACGATAATAACGGAGGTGCCACGTCGGTGCGTCTGGCGTGCGCGTTAAGCGACCGCGACCAGCGGAGGACATAGTACGTGTTCGCGCATTTTGCGTTTTAATCAAATCGTGTTGATTTTCCGCGATACAAAACATAAATAAGACGTTAATTAGCGAAATATTGCCTCTGTTAGCAGTATTGTCTAGTAAGCATGTATATCTAGCGCAAAAAAACTACTCCCTTCTGGTTATTGCTTAGCGAAAAAATAGCAGGAAGAAACCAGTAATGCAGTCGCCTCAACGTGGCGTACTACAGCGGCAAGGCGTAGCGTCTTCACGCCTCCCACCTCGCTCTAGCGTGGCCAATGTCTTAGAACCTTGCTAGTGCCCGTTACCGGTCTGAGTATTGCGTCTGATCTATCGAAAGCCGAAAGAAATAAAGATTTTTTGGCATTTACCATGGCCGCCTCTTACAACACCCATAGGACGGAATCAGGTGATGGCTTCTCATGCGCTGATACCACACAGTTACTGCGAGTATAATTATACCTTGTACACGAATATACAAAAGCGGGTGTATATAATGTACGCTGAGCGCCCCTCTCTCGCTAAACACTCTGACTGAGCGAACAGTTAGTTTTTATACTGAAAATTAATTCATTATTACCCTAAAATGATTTCATAGGTTTTATGGAGTTTATTTTAACAAAATTTAAATTCTCGACGTTTAGACTGCTTTCCATGGTTACAGTTACATACACGTGCTATATATCGAACGATGTTCAGAAACATCGTTCGATATATCGCAAGTGTATGGCGTGATCGGATGCGATCATCGTCACGTCAGTCCAAAGAGTAAATATACGTCAGTCTGCCTCTATCTTTCGCGCGAGTAACACGTACTGTTATAGATCCCCTTTTAATAGGAATCCGCTGACACAAAGCACACAGTCAGCACTCTCTTAGTAGCTTCAGTACTTTCTTATTTCAATACGAGCAATACCAGTCAGTCCATCATACACTCTCATCCGAAACACTCACCAATTTCAATTCTTAATTTGTGTCTTTCTATAATTAAATCCAGTTGTAATTTCTAAATATTTTTTTAAAAACATTTCGTGAAGCCCCGTATAACAGTACGGTACCTGTAAATTTTTTGCGCATGCAAGGATTTCCTGTTGGAATTTATAGAGTTACTCCGAGAACACGAGGTTTTATAATACCATAAAACACAAGGACTATCATAATCAGATGAAACGAACTGGATGTTATGAGGTATTACTTAGAAAAATGAAGGAAGTAGATCCCAGTGCAGACATAAGTAAAGTGCAAAAGAAAATTAACAACCTGCGTACTGTTTTCCGTAAGGAACTTAAAAAAGTGGAGTCTTCTCGTGCATCGGGAAGTGGTACTGACAACATTTATGTACCAAAGTTGTGGTACTATGAGAAATTGTTTTTAAAAGATCAAGAGCAGCCATATGGAGCGACAAGTAGTTCAATAGATTCAGTAAGTACACAATATTTATTATTTTTATATATTTCTTATTATGTTTTATACATTTATAAAATTATATATTTATTATTTCTAAAATTATTAATAAAGTCCTATGAAGTTGTTCTGCCAAGGTACAGATCCGGCATTATTAAAATAGTCGACAAATAATTCTCTTACTTGATTACCAGTATCGTTACTACGTAATGGTCGCCTTCGGAGTCCTAGTAAATCACATAGGAGGCCTTCTGCAAATTCATTATTTTCAAAGTTTTCTCTATCAAATACAGTTAACGGTGTATAGGTATTAGGACTATTACGGCGTAAGTAATTATGCAGAGCACAGCAAGCCATTACGATTTTTTATGTTGTCTAAATCCATGTTAATTTCTGTTTTTAATATACCAAACCTGGCAACTAAAATGCCGAATACATTTTCTATTATTCTTTTTGATCTAGATAAACGGTAATTAAAAATTCTCCTTTGAATGTTCAGTTGTTTTTTTATTAAAAGGTTTCATAAAATTATTCCTTAACATAAAGGCTTCATCGCCTACGAAAACATAAGGCAAAGTCGTACCATTTACTGTAGTAGGATTTGGTAATTTTAAGGAATTATTTAAGAGGTTTTTGTAAAAGTCAGTTTCATTTATAACACCACCATCCGAGACTCTGCCGTGTGTACCAAAATGAAAATAAATAAACTCATAATTGGCGTTAGCAATGGCCATTAGGACTTGACTATGAAAATGCTTATAATTATAAAAATAAGACCCAGCTCCTGGAGGAGGTCTTATCCTTATATGTTTCCCGTCTACAGCGCCCAAACAGTTAGGAATATCCCATCTATTTTCAAAGTGTTTCCCAATTTCGATCCATTCGTTCTCGATTGTTGGAAACAAATAAATAATTATTTTTTTATTAATTGTTTCAGCAATCTGATGACGACAGTATTGAAAGCACCAGAGATGAAGTCGCTTCACCAACATCAGATATCGTATCAGTTGAAAGGTTTAGTGAGCCTCAATAAGATCGTAGTTTTAAACACCGGAAAAACCTGTCTGTTTCCCAATATGTTGATCGAACGATTGAAACTATAGGCAATAAAATATGTGAAATAGCAGCGGATGACAAGTTTAATGCCTTCGGTAAAAAAAACTACTAATCAACGCTTATTTGAAGACAAAATTATAAATGATGCTCTGTTTGAAGCCGAATTGGGTAATTTAAACAGACAGTGTTTCTTACACCTTCCCCCTCAATCCTTTCCTATTTGTCACTCACAAAAATTACAACCACTCTCTTCACAAGTACTCAATTTTCAAGCACGTGAGTCACTCATACTACAGCCACCCACACAAAGATTTGTTCACACAACTCAACCATCCACACAACATGAACTCAACTTTCATACATGAGAGCCACTCATATTACAGCAACCCACACAAACAATAGTTCATACAACTCAACCGTCTACACAAAAAGAACTCAACTTTCATACACGCGAGCCCGAAAAAGAATCTCCAGTCCATGTCCACATACCAGATGACGCGCAAACGTTTTATAATACTTTTTCCGTTGAGTGAAAGCAATTTTAGCCAAATGTTAAGATATATTATTATGTAAGATGTAAAACAATAACTTGTCGATAGTATAATGTTTTAAATATATTTATATTTCACTATACCTAATTATCATACCAACAGCGCATAATAATCAACTGCTATGGTAAATTTATACTTGCCTTACAGTAATCCTTAAATGCATTGAAAATGGCTTCGCACGTTTCTGGAATGATCTTTCCCAAAGACTGTGGTGAAATCAACGTTGTATTTTAAACCTTCATAAGTCCTTGCAGTAGCCAGGAAACGCAGTGTTGCAGTTAGACGTTCGTGAGGAGTAATAGCTTGCCTCATATTGGTATCATTTTTTATTATTCTGGAAGATACCTTATGCAAAAGCTCTAAGTATGTTTCCTCTGACATCGTAAGGTAGTTATGCCAATCTTTAGGATGAAAACGTAATTCCTCAAGAAGATTGATGTGAGAATATTGATGTCTTTTCAGAAGCCATCTCTTAGTCCATTCTCTCCTAGTCTTCCTTTTATTTATTGTGGAAAGTGTTTTTCATATAAAATGAGCGCCAATGCGCTTAAACAAAGTACCTAGTTGCGACTTCATCGCTACATGTTTTCACTCCGCACAGAGACTGAGAATTCTACGATAACATCGTTCGTGTGTGACGGACGGAAATCGAAAGATAAAATAGTACGATTTTCTTGACGATCGATCGAAACGACAAATTGTCCCGTGTATGGGCTCCTTTAAACAACAAAAATTTGTAGTGGACATGTGAAGAACAATATGGCAAGTTTCCCCGTTTTATAGGCTGTAATGGATGGATGGATGGCGAAGACCTTAGGCTTTCACTTTATTTTTAAATTATTTGTTGATTATATTGTCCAATTTAAACAGGTTAAAACTTTACTAGGGCCGCTAGATATAACATTAGGTGTTATATTTATTTATCTTGATGCCTAAGTTTTCACCGTTGCCATTACTGAGTCACATATTTGAGCGATCACTTAACATGATTATTGTTTTATTTCTATAAAACAATAATATCAATTTTTTTTTGTATAAAACGGTAATCGTCAATTCGTATCTATAGATCTAGAACGACATCGTAAAACGATAGTTTACTCGTGTACTTATGCCCTTTCCATCTGTATTGACATATTTCCAATAGCACAACGGAAATGGATTCTTAAGAATTAAAATTTCTTATGAACCTTGTAGTGACTGTGTAAGAATATCCACTACCCCATATCATCCCGTGGATGTCGTAAGAGATGACAGTAGGAAACAAACCAGGAGATGGGCAGCAGCGTGTTCCTAGTAACAACTAGAAAATAAAAATCCGCTGTTGCCAAGGGTGGTAAATATGGCAAAAGTCTCCCTAATGGAACAATCCATGGTGAGAGTCAACACTGATAAGCTGTAAATGAAAATCATCTCTTATCAGTGAAGGAAAGATTGACGTATATTCTAAGAAAAACATTGAAAATGGCAAATGAAATCTGTAAGAGCATGCAGTCGAATATAATGACAACGCTGTAATTTTATATTTCAAAAACTGTTACATTACAAACGATGCTAACAAACGCTCCGGTCACGGTAATTTTATCTATAAATATTACCGTGCTCCGGTACAGTGCGGTCGTGTAGTTTCATTTATATACAACATACTACATTATCACAATATAGATCATTGAACCAACAAAATCGTTACTTTTTGACTGAACTTCATTTAACATAATGATTTCTTATATTTACGCGAACGTTACAAATTTAAATAATACTAGTTTTTACGGATTTTATTGCGTATATTAACTTTTTTATATACCCGACGTTTCGAGCACTTTACAGCACCCATGGTCACGGTGGGGACTGAGATATTCAACGTCCAGATGTCATAGTTAACCGCGGTTACTATAGATTACAATTTTAATCTACTACTACTAGCACTAAGTTAATTTGATCGCTTGGGCGCCTTATGAACTTGAGTGGCTGTCGTCATCAACAGTCCGCTGGGTTGAGCGGTCGTCAAAATCTCCCAAAAACTACGCAGTGTGACGCATCATCATATCGTGAAGAAAAAATGTGTTTATCTTTGTTATTCTGTGGTAACATTGTCAGTTGTCGCCTAACAACTATTCTACGTAAATTGATATTCAAATGAATTGTTTTTCCCTTGCTGTCTATACCCACATAATTCTGAAACAATATGTAAGTATCTACACAATTCAATTACATTTAGTTGCATTTTTTAGCTTATCATAATGAGTTTATTTTTTGCTTGAACTTGAAGGTCATGAAAATAGATCACTGAACGAGCGTGAGCATAGACAATTTCACTGCATACTGCATTCGACAGTGCATTTTATAAACTGATGTGGATACCTACTGTGTGGGCTGTCTGATTAAAATTTGTGAACAAAGGTAACGGAAAAGTCTATTATTTTGTTTTTGCGTGGTTTGTTAATGTTTTCTCTAAAACCATATTTTTTATTTCGCGATAAAAGTAGTAGATATAAAAACTAAGTCCAAGTCGTAAACTAGGTCCCATAGTAATTTTTTTCATACCAGATTTGTGAATGTGTAGAACATTTAAAAATCAAAATAGTAAAATTTATCATGATCGGCAAGAAGTATTAGACTATAATATAATAACAAATGAACTATAGTTCGTGCCAAATCGATTGAGAAAAACGGACGATTTACCTCAGATACGAGCCGAGTGTCAAAAGGCGTAACTTACAAAATCTCAATTTAGATGTGATAACAATATTTAAATATTGATATTATTCACACTTCTAGGTCAGCACATATGTTTTGTTTTTTTGTTTCTTAAATAATATTGTCTGTGGTTCCTATAAACATTGTAAAATCTTACGGTACACATAGCGAAAAATGTGTTATATTTTATATTTCAATTTATGGTAAGTAACGCAGCAATTCATTTAATAACAGTTTTTTATTAAAAAAAATATTTGAAGCAATATAACCATATTGAGCTTTTGCAAATTCATCCCTTTAAAATAAACAAAACACGCGTTACATCAGTTCCTTCTAAAAGAAACGTGACAATGGCAGCCAGAGATGCGTCATTTTTTTGGGCCGGCCCGCATGCACCGAATAAAAATAAAGTTCTTATATAATATTGAAAATAAAGTTTTATCACTCGAATCTTTATGTGTTATAAATTAATGCTTTTTGTTGTTAAATGAATAAAGTACTTTATAACAATATATGATTTTTCTTCTACAGCGATCTTTTACATAACTTTTTAATAATAGTTAATAAATATATATTATAGCAATCATTATAACAAAAATAATAAAAAAATCATTATAAATAAAGAAAGTACTACATATAAAAAGTGCCTATATATTGAAGGTTTGTAGCCCCTGGTTAAACGACCGAAAGGTCAATGTCCGTTTTTTAATCGATTTGGCACGTACTATAGATATTTGTTAACTTCTTCCCATTCTTAAATTTCTGACACTAAACCATAAGCCACATGACTATTTTTTTATTTCTCACCTATTAAATAAGTACACGTGCAGAAAACATCGATAATGGCCAACATCGACATTATGAGCAGGATAAACATCGAACATCGATATTAAGCTATCGATACCAACATCGAAGTCGTCATGATAAACACATTACACTCGTTGGCGTCGCACAGTGTCGTAAAAAAAACATTGAGCTATTATGTACTACGTACTAGAGGCGACACTGCATTTAGTTACGCTGTACCATTCGATTGCGGCGTTAGCGCCGCACTTTACTCAGTTACCCACTGTCGACCGATTCGCGTTGGCCCTAAAATTACAGTTTAGGGCCAACGCGAATCGGTCGACAGTGGTGAGCGCGCAGAACAGATTTTCCTGTCACAAATATGTCACAAATAGTTGCGTGGTAAAAGAATGCAAAAATTACGATACAAAGATTTTAAAAAACATGGGATATCGTATCATCGGTAAATAACTTTATATTAATTTTGTTACAAATAAATTATTATATAAACGCATTTTTAAAGTTTTATTTTACAGTTAGTTTAGTTACGTTACCAAGATTAGGCCAGGGTAGGATTCAGGCCCTCAAAAATATTGTATATGAAAAATAAAATTATACTATTTAAAAAATAATAATATATCACGTTTGACGTTTCACGATTCTTTTTTCCCATGTGCCGGGATTTTTTAGTTTATCTGTCTAGTTTATCTATAGGTACGTTTTGGTTTTTGAGGGTTTTCTTTTTATTTCTGTTTAATTTTTGTCTAAAGAACATAGTGTAAGTTAAATTTTGAATATTGGTATTTGGTACATAATATATTTTATATGCAATAGGGGTAAAACGAAAAGAGTACAAAAGAAACCATATCTGCCTAATCTGAATAATCTGAAAATCTGATTCATAAAATATTTTTAAATTCTGTTTTCAAACCTTGCTTCTGGAGCA